AGTTAATTGTTACATTTTTCATTTCCCTATTAGTTAATTTGTTAATTGTTGCATTTATCATAAAAGTATAAAACTAGTTAACTGTTACTATAAACATTAAAATATAAAACTAGTTAATTGTTACATTTTTCATTTCCCTATTAGTTAATTTGTTAATTGTTGCATTTTTCATTGAAGTATAAAACTAGTTAATTGTTACATTTTTCATTTCCCTATTAGTTAATTTGTTAATTGTTGCATTTTCATTAAAGTATAAAACTAGTTAATTGTTACATTTTAATAAATTACTTGTTATTTTAATAAACACACTCCAAGTATTCGAATTTCGTTACTCCTATTTTAATAAATTAAATACACTTGTTATTTTTATTAAAGTACTTGGAAATTTGCTATAATTTTATTAGTCACATTTTATTATTACTATTGTACTCATATTAAAACATTTGATATAATATAATATTTGTTACATTTTAAAGATGAACCGTGGTAGACATTCTATAGATATGGGTAATCTCCAACGCAACCGAAGGAAGGAGATTGCGACAACTCATCCTAGTTTACGCAAAGACAAAGGTAAAGGGGGGCCGGGTCTTCTTCTCAAAGTCGAGAAGATTTTGAAACGGGATACCAGAGGCAAGATGTGGATGCGATGTCCGACGAACAACTACAACAACTATTGGCGCAAAATGATGGTCGCTTTTTCCATCAGCAAAACATCCCGGAGTCCATTGACGAAGACGAGCTTGAGGATGAGGATGCGGAGGAGGACGCGGGGGGCAACGGCAGTCACGGCACCCCGGATGATGAGCAAGAGTTGGAGGACGAGGGTGGTTCATCCCAACTTGGTAAGAAATCTAAATCTCCTATTATAGAAAATAATTTTACAAAGAGGAAAGACAAAACAAGCGAGAAATGATAGGCAAGTTGCAATCATTGCAATAAGGAGTATAGCTTGGGAACTTCCGGCGGATACAGGAGCCTGGCAAGGCATCTTAAGTCCGCGCGCTTGGTGGAGTATACGAAAATATCGAAAGACAAGGGGAAGCAAACTCAAATATCGAGGTTTGCAAATGAGTGAATGACCAACCTTTTGGTAATTTCCAATACAATGATGCACAAAATTTGGCTGGTATAGCTAACTTACCTGTTTTCTGAAAGTATTGCTTTTAAAGATTATGCACAAACTTGTTTAAATCCTCAATTTAGAGGCTATAGTCGCAAAACGGTTAAGAAAGAAATTATAAGGTTTTATCGTGCGGAAAAGGATAAGTTACAAATTTTTTTTGCAAACTTTGATGGTCGTGTTACTATTTGTTCTGACATTTGGGAGGATATTTATCATTTTTTTTTATGGTGGGGTGAGCCAGGCCTAAGCAGTAGTGGACTTCCCCCCTTAAAAAATTGAGTTAATATCATGTGGGCTAATAGCCCACATATCAGATATTAAACTGATAAGAACATATATTTATCATAATTTACATTATTTGGGTCTGACTGCACATTTAATTGATAATGATTGGAATTTGCATAAACGTGTTCTTGCTTTTCGTGAATTTAATGATCGTCACACCTGAACATATTTATATTTTGATTGAACGTATTTTAAATGAGTATAATTTGATTGATAAGGTGTTTGCTATAGGTTTTGATAATGCTACTAATAATACTGCTGCTATACCTAGATTGCGTGAATTGTGTGGTTCTAACACTTTGATGGGTAGATTTTTTCATCACTGATGTGCATGCCATGTTATAAATTTATTTGTGCAACACGGTCTAAAAGCGTTAGGAGATGCTATGGAGGTAGTCAAGGGGGGGGGGGGGGGGGGGGTTAGACGTATTTGGGGTAATGGTCAACTTAAATTAAAATGGAAAAATTATTTGACTGAAAGAGGTGTGAAATATGTTGTTTTTCCTAAAGATTTGTCTATTCGCTGGAATAGTACTTATAAACTAACTAAAGTTCTTCTTAGATATAAAGAACATTTTCCTGCTTTTTTAAGACAATATGATAACTATATTTTAAACTCCGCTCACATCGACACTTGCGAAAAAAATTGTAATGTTTTGATATTTTTTAATAATGCAACTAAAAGTTTTAGTCATGTTTATAAACCTACCTCAAATCAATTTATTCGTGAAGTTGTTAATCTCGCCGGTGCTCTTAATGAATTTGAGAATGTCGCTCACGTGAGTTATTTTTGTGGTTTTATGAAGGAAAACTTTTTAAAATATTATGCACATATTCCGCATATTTATGGTATTGCATTTATTCTGGATCCTTGTTTTAGACTTGGTGATTTGGAAGAATGTTTGAAGTTCTATTATCATGCTTTTTTTGGTTCATTTCCAATGTATGACGATAACGCCATAGATCCGCAAGTTGAATACAACGAGGTTAGTAATTTATTTTATGCATTATTTAATGAGTTTCATGCACAATATGACTAACACGCCCTCTCCCCCGACACAAACATCTTCATCCAAAGGAAAATCACTTTTTAAAGCTGCTTTTGACAATCTTATGAAAAAAACTAAAACAACTCACACTACTGAACAAAGCGCACTTAATGAGATTTCTTTGTATATAAATTATGAGGTAAAATTTGACGAAAATGATGACTTTGACGTTCTAAAGTGGTGGAAGTCAAAAGAAAGAATGTTCTTGATTTTAGCACGCGGATGGCTAAACATTTATTACCAAACATAATAGAATTTTTCGAAACCACTGTTATAATAAAGAAAAGACCTAAATAGGTTAAATTAAAAAATAGTACAGTGTTCATAGCAAAACTACAGTGTTTTTCAAGACCTAATCTTCTATAGCAAACATGGTCCATGCTCATAACAATTTTCGAAACTGGTTGGGTATTATTACTACTCCCTCTTGCCCGAACTGAATTGCAGAAGTTGATCGGTACAAGAATTAAGAAAGATTAGAAATTGATATTTACTTTACCAATTTGCCCTTTTGAGTTTTGAGACCAAGTACTATGCAGTCTTTTCATTTTCCCTCTTTTCATCTTGGACCGGTTATTTGCCAACAGTCCAACACCAACCCACCCACATAGGCCTTCATTCTTTTTTTGGTACATTCATGGACCAAAGGTACATTTTATCACACCTACTCCCCTCGTAAATAAAAAAATCTTCCCATCATACCCTCAATAATTTATATCTCCTTTCACTATTCTTAATCTACCTGCTTTTGAAATGAGAAACTTTTTATGTTAGAGAGAGAGTATTTTTCAAAAATTAATCACTAAAATGTTGGCATGTACCCTCATTACATCAATGATGTTCCCATCATTTGAAGTGCATAATGGAAAAGTGACCATAACATGGCCCTCTGGGTTTGCTGCTATGCAAACCACCCACGCTAAGCCGGATGATCCTACATTGTTTAATTACTAATGAAGTGAGATTGATCCCTGTTTATCCCATCCCCTAAACCCCCTCCCTCTAACACCCCCTGGGGTAAAAAAATGAGAAGAAGAAAAATACTAATCCTACATTGTTTAATCACCTCATGTTGCTCTTTTCTTTTTTTAGCAGCATCTTTTTCTAGCAGCAGGGGTGTCAAATACGAGTATACAACATTCTTATTACATAGGACTATAGGAGAGACTTGTAAGTTTAACACCATACTGAGCTACTATCACTCTTGCTGCTATCTGGAGTGTCTACAACCATATCAAAAGGCCAACCCTCTAAAATGAAACACAAATCATACTTCAAACATATTGTAGTAGATGAACATGGGAGGACAGGGTCGAAGAGGTTTACCTAGAGCAGGAGTGGAGAAGAAGTTGGAAGAGAACCGATAGATTTCAAATCTGAGGGGTAAGGTTAAAACAAGAGGAGGAATGAATTTGTGTTATTTTTAATACGCAATTCCATCAAAATGAGCTCAAATCCAAAAGAAGTAAATCCATGGAATGATTGGGGATACTAAGATTTTGAAGGAATTTTTAAAATCTAGGTCAAGGACACCTGGATTCGTGGAATTCTAAATTCCATCGAAATCTAAATTGGGGATACCCCTTAGTCAATGTTATAGCACAACAATCACTTCTAATAACATCAACTTTCTCCTTCATAACAAACCACAACTAGAAGTGTTTGTTTGAGATTGGACATTTGTAGATCTTATCCTTCTCCAAAATATTCATCAGAGCTTTGAGACTTTTGCAACATATATATACATCGAAATTTATGTCTTAACATCTTTGACGGCGTGAATTTGAAAAAAGCTGCTTTAAGTGTTGATAAAAATTTTAAAGTTCAGATTTCACACATACCATATCGAAAAATAATCTCACTGTCATATTTGAATTTTGAAAGTACAAATTACGAAGTAATTTAGAAATAAACTTATATCACTCACAAATTTTAGTTGTCTCAAGCTTCTAGGTATAGTTGAACGTAAAATAAGTGGTATGTTCCCAAATCAACATTCTTTTTTTGAGAAAGAGTCCCAAATCATCAATTAATCTTCAACAACTGCCATAACTAAATCTTAGCGCAAACAATTAATATGGTCACTTAACTATTATGTTCTTTAGGCTTTCGCAGAAAAAGAGTATACTTGTTCACAATAATGCCTTCATAATAAGTGGTAAGTTCCAAATCAACATTTTTTTTTAGAAAGAGTCCCAAATCAGCAATTAATCTTTAACAATTGCCATAACTAAATCTTAGAGCAAACAATTAATACGGTCACTTAACTATTATGTTCAAGGTTGTCATGGCGCATGGCGACAGCCATGGCGCACAAGCCTTTTCCCATGGCGATGGCGATGGCGATGGCGCAAAGCCGCAAATATGGCGTCGCCACGTGACAAAAAAAACACAAAAACAAACTATAGACACTATACTTGATCAACACAACCACCAAAACAATATAAAAAGTTGAATAACAACACAAAAACAGTTTAAAGTACTTTAAAGTAGTTTAAAGTACTTCCAAAAAACCTAATATTCAAAAGAAGTTTCTTGTCATGCAAAATATGTTAGGATTTAGGCTTGTTAGCTTGTTATTGTTTGATGATTATGCCATAATCATCATCAATCATCCCACTCCTCATCCTCTTGGTCTGAATCTGATAGCAATGGCACATCATCCTCATTGAGTTCATCATCAGAGGGATCTTCAACCTCATCTGTCTCCTCCGCCTCCGCTGTCTCCTCCATCTCCTCTTCGTCGTGCAACTAAAGTGTTGATGCTCTTGTTGTTGTTGCTCTTGTAATGTGATTTGCTTCATTAACACCAACAACTTCTTCCACTACATCCCAATTTTCCATTTCATTTTGATCGGCAGCTTCATCAATCCATTCATTGCAATCATCAATGTCTTCCAAACATATTTTCATTTTTCTGATAGCTTGATCTTGAAGACGTTGATTCTACCGAATGTATACCAAATCATTCATTTTTTTTGGCAGCAACCTTGTCCTTTTCTTGGTTTGAACCTAAAACAAGTACATAATAAATCAACTACAGATAGTGAGATAACTTAAATATTTAAACAGTTAAATTAAATATGAAAGGCATATTTATGAACTTACATTTTCAAAACCACTCCAGTTTCGTTCACATCCAGAAGCACTGCAAGTTAAACTAAGGATCCGAACAACAAGATGTTGCAAAGTGGGAGACGAGGAGCCATTTGCAAGCCACCAGTCAACTATATTTAAAATTCCAACCAAGTGCTAATTAATAATCTAGAAAACAATACTCAGATTTCAGGATTTAAAATTTCAGCTTTCCATTTCAATTTTGTAGTCAATTACAGCAAGTGCTAGCCATCATTTAACTATTCCAGTCCATAACAGTAAGTTGACTGCAAGTGTAGGTCAATTAGTCAATTACAGTAGTTTTATGACTACGAAAACTCAAATTTTAAATGGTATAGATTGTATAGAATGACAATAGATTTCATATAGAAATTTAGAATGACAATAGATTGCAGTTTAGGACTTTCCAGTTTCCAGAAAGTTGAAATAAAATAAGTTAGTTCTATAAACCTAAAAATGATGGCTAGCACTTGCTGTCCTACAGAGTTAGTTACAGAGTTAGTTTTATAAAAATAAGTTCGTAGGCAGTAGGTTACCTCATTACCAAATATAAGTGAATAAAATACTTACATAAGAAAGAGAAGACAAATTAAAGTGTGCATACCCGGTGGTTGTTTGTCCCTATTGTTCATTGCCATATTAGTTCGGAAACTTCCTCTAGCATTTGTATAGTTTGATATCTCAGTTGAGAACTCTACACTCTCTCCAATGCTAGTGGGCAACATCTTCTCCACACACTTTATAAAGCCATCACATACTTCTTCATCTCCGAGGATTCGCCGTGAATTAGGGTAGAAGAATTGAGGATTGAGATAATACCCCGCTGCATGTAATGGAGAATGCAGGTTCTCATTCCAACGTTTATCTATTATCTTCCAAAGAGGCATGTATTTCTCTTCTTTACCTCCCAATGTGTTTTTTATTCCCAATTTCGCTCTCTCCATAGCCTCATAAATAAAGCCCATTGGAGGCACCTCTCCATCAGTAATTCTCAATACCTTCACTACGGGCAAAGAAATCTTCATAACATAGGCAACAATTCTCCAAAAGCTTTGACGATAAATCGACTCAAAACAAGATTTACCTTCTGTAGTTTTTGCAAACTCACTTTCATACCATTTCGGTGAAGCAAACATTTGCCTCAATGCGTGTTTTTGCGTGAGAAGACTTTGATGAGTCAGAAAGTTAGTGGCAAAGCGAGTGGCAGCAGGTCTAACTAGCTCTCTCCCCTTGGTAAATTCCTTCATCAAGTCGTGAACAAGGGTATGGCTATAGATGTAGGTAGTAATCCCTTGTGCCGTCTTCACAGTTCTTCTAACTATCGGCATCTTCTTTGAAAAGTCTTCTAGAACAAGGTCAAGACAGTGAGTTGCACATCCCGTTGTGAAGATATGGGGATATCTTTGTTCTATTTTCCTCTTCGCTAATCCATAATTTTTAGCATTGTCGGTCACAACTTGTATCACACTTTGAGGACCTATTTCTTTAATCCACTCATCAAAGAGCTTGAAAAGTGCTTCTCCGGTCTTCTTGTAAGATGAAGCATCTACGGCTTTCATGAACACTGTCCCCTTGCTAGAATTCACGCACAAGTTCACTAGAGTTCTGTGCCTTTTATCCTGCCACCCATCTGACATAATAGTGTAGCCATCTAATTCCCAGAATTTTTTGTGCTCACTGACCACCAGATCTGTTTTGGCTACCTCTTTTTGCAAGAACGTCTCCCTCACTTCATGATACGTTGGTGCTTTAAACCCGGCTCCAAACCTGCCAATCTTTTCTAGTGTTTCTTTCAGCAAAGGGTCATGAACCACATTAAAGGAGATGTTGTTCCTGTAAAACCACAAACAAAGGCTTTGAGCATATTCATCCCTCTCTTTTTTCTTCAAGTGTGATGGGATTGTTGATTGTGTCAATGCCTCCTTCTTACGTTTTTTTGTTGGATATACGAACTTATCCATAGGCCCAGACACACCACCTCCCTCTGCATTTGACTGAGAACCAGTTATCTCAACGTCATCATCTCCATTCACCCTATTGGCACTTGACCCACCAGACTGCTGTACTGTATATGTACTTCGAAACGTTTGTTCACACACATTTTTTTCTGAGTTAGCAGCAGATTCTTTCAAGACTAGCGCCTGTAGTTCAGCCCTCTTATCAGCGGGAATGAGTTCACACTGTTTTGTGTTGCGGTGCTTCCCAGTCAAGTGTTGTTTAAACCTTGTAATTCCACCTTTAGTCACGTGCCCGCAGTATGTGCAGCGCAATTCATTGTTGTTTTTTTCTTTTACTTTCTCACAGAACTCCTTAGCAAAGGCAACAGACATCCTTTGTGGCTCTGCCTCTTCGGTTACCTCTGTAATAACAATTAACATAAAACAGATCAATGTCATAACTCATAAGTTAAAATCTATGTATAATTGTATATGTTAAACCGTTAAGTGTAAACTGTTATAATTTTGTTAAGTCTTCTAGTATCAAGTACTCTAAACTGTAAAGTGTAAAGTTTTAACTAAATTAAGTAATTAACTTATTAAAGTGTATCAGTTTATCAGTTTAAAACTTTAAATACTTTAAGTTCTAAAGTAAAAACTTCATTTTACAATGCTATAACTAAATTGATAAACTATTTAAAACTTCATTTTACTAGCATGTAGCATGATATCATATTAGCATCTTAATACTAGCTATTTAAATTACTAGCATCAGTTTAATACTTTCAGTTTAAACTTCATTTTACTATGCTTATGCTATAAGTATTTGAATTGATAAATTATCTGATCATAGCATCTATCTATCTAACTAAATTTATTTCAAAGTTTAAAGTGATAAATTGATAAAGACATAAAGTATCATAGGCTCATAGCATATAAATATATTATGCATTTAACATTAAGGAGTAAAGGCTGAGCTGCTCTGTATTTAATACTCATAGCACATGAAGTATTAAATGAAGTTCACATTTTCACGAATATATATAATATATAAAGTTTTGGATAAATTGTAACTGTATAAACTGAACTTTTCTTCATTTATACACAGCATTAAAGAGGTTGCCGTACCTTGTGTAGTTGGAAGAAGTCAATGAGAGTCATGTGTAGAGCAGCTTTTCTGTCGTTTGCCTTTCTGTAGTTTGTCGCATACCCTTTCTTGCGCAGAGCAGCTTTAACTTCCGGATATTGACTTTGTTGTGTTTATTGACTTTAGGGTTGTAGTTAGTAATATGGGCTAAAAATAGTAAGTTTTTGTTACAGTTTTATGGTTATAAATGGTCGCAGATAATTATGGGCCAAAAGGCCACAACTTACAGCTCAAAGACGCGGCCTTTTTTTAGAAAAGGCAGTCGCATCGCCATGGCGAAGGCGCAGGTATGGCGAAGGCGCAAGAATGGCGCCGCCATGTGTATTTGCCTCGCCACAGCTCTTTTCCGTAGCGCAGGGGTTACAACTGTGCCTCATGGCGCATGGCGCGCGCGCCATTTGACGCCATCGACAACTATGATTATGTTCATGAGGGATTTCGCAGCCAAAGAGTATAATTGTTCACAATAATGCCTTCATAGTCAATATCCTTCCTCTTCCTGAAACATAACCTAAGGGTTCATGACGTAAATAATATGTAATGTCATCTATGGTTAGAAACATATGACGTTTGCACCAACCAGAACTCGTGATTTGGGGGGACATTAGCACAAAAATCATATATATCCCGAATATAGCAATACATAATTCAATAAAATTTAAACACAACAACTAATTAAAGAGTACCTTAGTTTTGATTAGAATCTGATGCATCAAATAAATGAGAGTAAGTGAGAGGCGGCAATCTTTGTCTTTGAGGTGCCATACTCAGAAATCACCTCATAATGACATCATTCTCCATTTTAACAAAAACATCTTTCCTAATGGAACACATCAAGCAATCTGTCAAGTGTTCTTCTCCAATCTTGTTGCGCAATTCTCATCTTTCTTGGTTTGCTGCGATAATAAATAATCTACATTTTGCTTTTGGTTTTGAAACCCGGATTGTTGAATTTTTGCATAAAGATGTATGCCTCCTCCTTCGTGCTTACGGAATCTTTCCTTAGCTTTCTTCCAGTTATTAAACCCAACTTCAGTAAAAACATCATCCCCATTTTTATGACCTCTAGCAAACAAATAGCACAAATGGCAGAATGCTGCATCCTTGACAACACTATATTCCAACCAATTAATTAAATTCTTCAAACCAATGCTTTTGAAATGATCGATTGTGCCCACTAAATTCAGTCTGTGGAAATTTCATCCCACGTGGTTGGCAAGGACCTTTTGTCAAACAATGTCTCCTCATCTCGTCTCTAATGTTAACATCATAAGTGTCAATCTGTTTACGCAATCCAGGATCACTCGTAATGTCATCATCCGACAATTCAACTTCTATTCGAGCCTTTTCACCATTATTTTCATTGTTAGGAGTGACATTAACTGACGAAGAAACTAAATTATTCGATGAAGAACCACCAATGCTCGTCTCTTTAGGTATCGGTGCATAATATCGTAGCATAGCGATTGTTTGTCAAACAACCTATCCAACTAAAATTCAAATAATATGAGTAATTATAAAAATTACATTATAATAAATTAACAATGTTAACTAAATCAATAAATCCACAATTACAAATTTACAACATAATTAATATTTTTAATAAGATTATGAGAATATAATTGCAAAAAATTCAGCAGTTTATTTGAATTCAACAAATAAAAACATTCAACAGTTAACATCTTATTTGAATTCATCAAATAAACAATTTTAAATGAAATTATCAAAAAACAATTAGGTTAAAGCATGAAGCGGCTTACCTGGAGTCTAGAAATGGGAGTACTGTCGCACTGAAGATGACGCCGGAAATCAGAAGAAGGACCGAAGGGTGGTCCGTGGTCGCCGTCCGTGGCCAACGTCTCGTCCGTCGTCCGGTCCCCTCCGTCACTGAGATGCTCGTTCCGTCGACCTTCGCTGGTGTGAAGCCCTGTGACCTCACAGTGTGATGCTGTGATTCTACGCAGGGGCTAAAGGGCAGGGCCTTCACTTAGGTAGTTGGGGAGTTGGGCTGGCAGGGATTAGTCTGATGGTCTGGGTTAGATGGGCCGACAAGTCCGCGCAACTGCACAATGCTATGTAGGGGTGGGATAAGTCCGGTCTGGGTTAGATGGGCCGACAAGTCCGCGCAACTGCACAATGCTATGTAGGGGTGGGATAAGTCCGGTCTGGGTCAGATTTTTGCTAAATCCGGAAATTACCTGGAAGGTCTCGGGTTATGAAAATTAGGGACCGGAATAAAGCTCATTATATTCGGTCCGAGTCGGGTTTTTGGTAGCCCGGGTTCGGTCCGAGTTCGGGTTGGACCGGTTAAAGTCCGGACGTGAAATATGTCATTGTTCTTTTATATTTTAACACTTATTTTCAAATAAAATTAATCAAAAATACAAACCGCAACTAATAACACAAATATTGGTCTCCAAAATCACCAACAATTCAAATTTAAAGAAGATAATTATCTTAATATTTTATGTAAGATGTATATATATAAATAATATAAGTTTCTTAAAAATATTACGAAATAAATTTTATAAATCAAAATGTTACTAGAGTTGCTATAAATATATTCTCATGGTCATCATTACGCTAAACAAATTCAACATATTTGTAGTCACTAAAAGTTACTAAATCTTTTTTTATCCTATAATCATACATAGGAAATATTTTATTTATATTCATATACTATATTAATTTTATATTAAAACTAATTGTTTCGGGTTTTTTCGGTCCGGGCCGGGTTATAGATTTTAAGGCCCGTTAATGAGCCCGGAATTTTCAGTTCGGTCTATTTTTTTTTTAATTCGGGCCGGTTAAAAATTAAAGAAAAAACCCGGACCGGGATCATAATTCGGGTCGGTCCAGGGTCGGTTTCCGGGTTTCGGTTCGGTTTTTCCTACCCCTAATGCTAAGGGGAAGGGGAATTGGGAGTGAACTAGGGCAGGGGTGGGTTGGAAAAATCGAACACCGAAAAACGAATCGAAAAAACCCGAACTGCAATCAAAACTACCGAACTGCAAGAAAATCAAAACTAAACTAAAAACCCGAACCGAACCGTAGTTGTTTGATTTCAATTTCGGTTTTCACATCTCAAAACCGAACCAAATAAAACGAACTTGTTAAAAGTTATTATTTTATTTATTAATCATTAAGTATAATATTTTGTTTAGTTCTAAATTCTTAATTCTAGAAAATTAATGTTTGATACTAGATTTATTATGATTTGCAATATATTGACATTTAATATATACTCCCTCCGTCCCAAAATTAACTTCCCGTTCGGTTTACGATGCTTGACTGACGATAAAGCAACTCGATCCCTGCTCACACTCGGATTATTTTTAGTAAATAAAATTTACATATTCAGAAACTACATTAAAACCGCTACAAAGCCTGATCAATAAAATTTAAATATGATAAAAGTTTGATATAAAAAGTAAAAGATTACGAGTGATTCAAGTTGACCAATGAATAGTGAGTGGGAAGTTGTTTTTGAAACGGAGGGAGTATTTCTTAATTAAGTGAAACGATGAAAAAATGCTTTAATTCGAATCCAAATTATGTAGTCTTTTTGTCAGAATGCCTAGAAAGCCTAATGTAACCATTTAGAATTGTCTTAATTGGTTCGAAATTAGATTATAATCATAGATGTATATTGGTTGAAATCGAATAATCCATTTGCAATCACAAATAATAATCTAAACGAACTACACAGAATAGACTAATGATACACCCGACTCAATCCTATCGAATTTGTAAAACTCAAAATCCTTGTAAAACAATTCACATACTGAAAGTCTAATTCGAACATGCTGGAATCCAATTATGCATATAAAACACTCTGTATGTTTATATATGTGCATATACCGACTATTAGCAAATAAGTTCGCATATATTCATTATTTATAGATATTCCATTATATTCTCTCCTATGTTATAATTTGATAGAATGACATGCAGTTTTGTTGTGTCGTCTTTAAGGTATCCTTATTCATAAGTTTATTTGAGAATTATCTTGATGTGAATTTTAAACACCATAACTGAAAAGGTGAGATTATTTGGAAATATTCTTTTTAGAAAAAAAAACGGTACAAAATACTCCATCAAATATTTGGTTATTCAAGATTATTTTAACTTTTGTAAAAAAAAAGTTTAACTTTTAATATACACATGTGTTACAATATAATCTGATCTTTTATATTGAAATGGCTAAATCACTTCTTTGGAAATACTTCAACAATTTTTGAAATGTGAATTGGACATTCTCCAATTAATCGTTTATGGTACTTGGCTCACCTAGCTCTCTGCAGTACACGGACTCCAAATAATTTATGTAGCAGATACAAGTATTATTGCTACTAATTTAACATCTTACAAAAGTTTAAATATTGAGATGACGTTTTTCTTAAAAAAGAAAGGTAAGAGGGCCACAGTTTTTGCTCAATGGTAGTACTTTTATGCCATTGATATGCTATTAGGCATGCGTGTCAGTGTGTCACATGCACGATGTGAAGAAGGTCCATTTTCCTCCATGAAATGCACATACCATTACGGTACTACTGGAAAGGTTGCTGGATTATAATTAGAAACGGGTTATGATGCTCTTAACTATGGGTAATTTGTATTTTGATATCTTAACTCTTAAATGAATTAATACCTTAATTATAAATAAATGTTTCAGATTGAGATTTTATTTAAATTTTTAACAAAAAGTCTTTTATGACAATCAAAATTTCATGTGTAGACCACCCTATAGTGGTCATAAGGACAAAAATAAGGTGAAATAGACTTACGCCAGTGGCGTATCCACTATGGGGGCAGCGGGGGCAGCTGCCCCCACTCAACCTCAACCCCCATATATATGTCCAAATTTTTACAGGAAAATGCTCAAAAATAAGAGTTAAATGTAGAAACAAAATTCTAAAATACTAGTAGGATTAAAAGTGTTTTCTTTAATATTAAAAGAATGAAAGGATAAAAAATTCACTAAATTTTGTTATGTTTAACTTATATAAGTTATATTTAGGTAATTTTATTATATTTTATCTGCAATTACATTGTTACACACCCGTAATATAAATTAATCTTCTTTTTATTCATACTTGTACATAGATATTATAAATTAAATTTAATCAAACAATATTAATAATGTGATTTGTTATTTGTGAAATATGAGACTAAATTGTAGTCAAGTTTGCCCCCACTCGCCAAATTTCCTGGATACGCCATTGCTTTACGCATAGAATTCTGATCGTCGCATGTCATTTTTGGTCGGAAATTTGTATAAATTCTCAATTCGAAACATTTATGTATAGTTAATGTACCATTTTGATTCATTTAAGAGTTAAGGTACCATTTATGCATTTAATCCGCTGCAACATTTATGTATACTTAAAGTACCAAAATGTAACATTACCAATAGTTGATGAGGTACCATCTGTGCATTTAACCTGCTACTATCTTCTTTAAGAACCCTTTACGATACTTCTCTTCACAACACAACTTCCGCTTTTCTTCTCCCTCCTGAGTCCTTTTGTGCAGTTCATTAACTTTGTTCACTTTATTGGCTGAAGTCCACAGTCTATAGTAATTTGGAGAAGTAGTTTGGGGGTATTGGGTAAGTAAACAGATCAGTCTGGACTGAGCTAAATGGGGTTCCAAAAAATAACTTGGCACAGTTTCAGCATCCACCAGTTGGACCAGATGTTTCCTGTCAGAGTAGTTTGGCTCTACCACCACTAAGATTGTAGCTATTGCGGCTGGAGGACATCTCAGTTTTGCGCTTGCGGGTAGGTAAATACTGTTTATTTTCCTTGTTTGATGCCTAAGATCTGTGATTAAATGCTTACTTATCTTGAAGACTTTCCTGGATTTTTCTCTATAATATAATGATTCTTCTATTGGTCTTTCTATGTGAAAATCTGTCTATGGAAGCTCCGCTGGCAGACCAGAGAGCCTGAGACCGTCCACTGGCAGAGGAGCACTCGAGCAGTACAGGTGGCTGTGACAGCGAGTGGGCGATGGTCAGCCCAAACTTTTACCTTGTAATTTGTGCTGTGCATTCCCCGGATATTGGCAAGTTCTGAACCTTATAATCTTGTTAACCCTTTTCTAGTACGGTAAATAGGGATGCAATTGTGACCAATTGTGATACATACCCGTACTGAACTGCTCCGGTCAAAACGGGGAGAACCGCATTGACCGGACAAAGGGTATGTCACGGGGAATACTTATTTTATTTTTGTGGATAATTGGGCGGTTAAAATTTTATACATGTCCGCCCCAATTTAGCTACTTCTAGCTAATACACTAATTACTAAGGCGTAAATCACTTAGTGAAATAATAAAACAAATCATAAGCCACGATTGAAAATGGAGCACCGAGCACGCCGGCGGTCAATCCGGCCTGGGTCTGTTAATTTTGCCAAAGGAAGAAGATTAGTTCTTATTTTTCATCTAAGAACCACTTTTTATTTGATCCAAAGTCTATATATATATATATATTTTGGTTCAGGTGAGAAATGCATCTAATGTGAGAAATGAGAATGAATCTCAGCCATTGGATTTACGAAGTTGCACTAAAATTGGCTTTATGTTGCAGTAATATTTAAATTTTGCACATGTTGCACTAAAACGGTTTCATGTTGCACTAATATTTGACGGCGTTGCACCGAAATAGCTTCATGTTGCACTAGACATGTGTAATACGGATTTTTCAGAAGTATTTACAGAAATGCCACCGTGCTAGATTGCATATTTCAGTGCATCATGAAGTGTCATTTACTGCAACTTAGTCGAATCCAATGGCTGAGATTCATTCTCATTTCTCACCCAAAGGGTTCTTCTCACCTGAACCTTGCCCTATATATATATATATATATATATATATATATATATATATATGACTAAAATAAAAATTGTTTGTTAAATGTAATACTCCGTAGTAACTTTAGTAAAGTAAGTTATGTTCAATTTTAAATATAAGTGAATATAATACCT